GGACTTCTGACTTCATCAGTGCTTATGGTATATATATTTATTAGACAGCTACAGAGCAAACATCTTTCGGAACAGCGACTACTTCTTAGCGGTACATATGTACATATGTACATTCCAATTGGGATGACTTTTCAGGTGAGGCCTGATCATCTTGCATTGCATTTTATTTTAATTTATTTTATTTTATTTATTTATATGGCATTTGGCGTTCTCCATTTTTTTGTTGCACATTTTAATTAAATGGAAATTTCCGCTGTCTTGAGCACGTTTTCTCATCAACGGCATTAAATGCTATGCAGAATTTTAATTAGGCCCGCGGCACACACCCATAGCCACGCCACGCCAGGCCATGAAAGTGTATATGCAACAGGATTTGTAGCACGATTGCAACTTAGGATGCCAGTGGCGGCGGGGCAGCGGCAGCGGCAGCGGCAGCGGCAGGAGTAGGAGTTGGAGTTTCAGCATCACATACAAGCAGACACTTTGAGATTCGGCTTACTGCATGTGGAGCGTGTCCCGTGCTTCGTGCTCCACGCAGAGGAGGATTAAGCCCTGTTTACACTACCGAATGCAAAATGTTAAATAATGATACGCTGAAGTGGGGCTGTGAGAGGGAGGAGAGAGAGACAGGGGTCGCTTGGAAAAGTATGTGGCCGATCGGAGCCGCCATATGCCATGCCACCAACGAATTTGAGGTTGACTCTCGACTTTCGAGTCCAAAATGCAAAGTGGGCCACTAAGCTGACGCGACTCTCCGTCTGTCTGTCTGTCTGTCTGTCCGTCAGTCTGTATGTCTATTTGCCCAAGAAGGCACCCCCGCCCGTAGGAGATGCTGTCGAATCTAGCTTACTTGTGCCACTCACAGTGGCAGTGGCAGTTTCAGTTGCAACAATAAGTAGTTGGGTAAGTACGGTAAGTAAGTTGTTTAATTAAAACAAAGTTTAATTGGCAAAATTTCCACTTTCCACTTGCCTTGTGGAGTGCGGAGTGTGGAGTGTGTGCTCTGCTCAAGACAAGATCATCATCCTGCCATCCTGCTGTCAGGATACAGATAGTGCCTCTCTATTGGGTAAATGGTGCTGCGACCACAAGTGGAGTTTCTGTCATCATCATCATCATCATCATCATCAGCATCAACATCAACGGACGATGTCAAAAGTGTCTGTCTTGGGTAGGACTTCAGCTTAATTGCAGAACATGAACATGACACTTCACTTGATGTCCATTCGAAGGGAGTCGCCTCCCGGTCGTACCTACGCTAACAGGACTCTAACAGTTGTAAATATGTCGCACTAATTGAAAATAATCAAATGGCTCCACAGCTCATCCAAGTTAATTGGCTGACATTCGTCCAGGTACAGTCGCTTCTGCTACAAGCTGCAACACGATGACGACAGACAGAAAGAGTCATTCAATGGCAGACTTTCAATAGGCGATAACATTTCAGAAGGATTAGGGTTCAGGTTCCCAACAAAACAAGAGGCGAACAGCAGTCGATGGAAGGCACAGATGACTGTTGTAAGCTCGCATCGGATCTCGTTTTGGATGGATACCACAAATATGCCGCACATATTTCTTCTTTTAATACCTCGGCAAAAACAAACCAATAACAAATAGCCATCGAATCACCTGGAATCACAGCCGCATAGCTGCCATATGGAAAGATATGCCACAACAAACTGGTGCGGCAAAGGCATACAAAAAAAAATAAAAATAAAAGTGCGAAACATATTTCTCACATGAATACCACAAAACTATTGAAAATTACTATAAACAGCATCGCCCAAAACGTATGGACAAAGGACAGACGGACACCATGGATGGCCAGGGAACAGCCAAAGCCAACAAAAAATATTTTTTATGATATAAGTACGAGTACATCCACGGCACTGCTGACCAATACCAATACCAAAACTACCGCACGACACGATTCGATTCGATTTATGGGCGTCGATTTGTGGGCAGTTCTTTATGTACATACGTACGGACATATGTGTGTATATATTCCCGCAATATGTGTACACACCCGTATATATTGTTCTGGTTGTTGGCAACACAGCACACAACACACAAAATCAAAATCAAACAAAAAAAAAAAAGAGAAAGGAAAAGGAAAAGCTGAGCGAAAAGTTTTTCCATTAAATCAATGAAGCGCGCAAAATATTCGCACCAAAGCAGAGGCGACGCGACGAAAAGGAGTCGGGAATTGGCCAACTTTTGATTTGCAAGGATTTGCCCGCGGCGGCTGCACAGCACCTCCCTCAGATAAACGTGCACCCAGCCAAAGGGAATGTGCCATAAAAGATCCATTGGAGTCACTTTATTTTAACATCAATTGTGGAACACCGATATGCCGCTGAAATGTATAAGATCTCTCCTCCCATTTGTCGTTGCACTAGGACTAAAGATATCATTGGAGAGTACCTGAATTATCCTTGCCAACAAATAGTTTTTGCCTGTCCAATATCCCTTGGATTCGAATTCATTTTGTAGTCATCCGAGCTTGGGACGCGGGGCCTTGGACTAGCACCTTTCACCTCCTATCAGCCGCCATCAGCCACCAACCAACAAACCAACGCATTTCAAGTGTCATTCCGTTTGTTATACACACATACGATATTTGTATGCCTGATGACAGCTCAATTTTTTGCCATAGTTTTGGCACTTTTTTCTCCCGTGCCAAACAGAAAATGCACAAAAGTTGCAAAACAAAAAACTCCCACCTCGGCCTCGGGTCAACAAAAAATAGAACAAAAAGCCAATTTCGGCCTGACCAGAGCAGAGTGGTCGCGTGGAGCCGCAGGGAGCCAGCGGCAGGACATATGTCTGTACAAATGTACGAGTGCACTGAAAATGGCGACGCGCGGACAATAAATGGCCACATGACAAAACATACGTTCCGTGTACAAATTTATGTCATAAATTTCTTTTTGAAGGCCCCTCGGACATTCGTTTGTGGCGCCGAGGTAAGGAATAGAACATATTCCAGGACGTGTGGGGGCTGCAGGAGTACACTATTGTATCATTTGTCCAATGGATCAGACGGTACCATTGCCGTTTCTTTACTTTAATGTGATTTTTTTTGTTTTTCTTAAACAATTGCCCAAACTTAGAGACACTTTAAGCTTCCAGTCGATGCGATGGTCACCACTTGGATAATCATTGAATAAATGTTTCACAAGGTTCTTGAACCTTTTTGTGCTTTCTGTCGTCTCAACAAACCTCGATGGCATACTCAGCGGGAATGTACACTGTACACCTAGTTCCAAGTGTGGCTCTGCATTCGGAAAAACTGTGCCCAACGAATGTTAGTTGAAAGACGATGTTATTATTGCGTGGCTTAAGTAGACCTGGGTGTAATCACAAGCAACTCGACACCCCTTCAGATGGATGGCGACAATCAAGTGGCCGATGCAATGGCTGTGCTCGGCTCAGAATTTTCCAATCCCACTTGTACCAATCAATAATAATTCTGAAATAAACGCCCACATGTACTGAATAAATTTGTGTATGATTGGTACTTTGTAGAAGGTCCGGGTACTTACATGCGAGGGGGTCCCATTCGATGACACAGCAAAACAGAAAAAAGAGAAAAGAAAACCATGCTTGAAGTTTTCTTGTCATTTATTAATATTTTACTTTGTGTGTTTGCTGCCGTACAATATTCATTTGGTTTTCAAATAATTACATTTATTGTATTTGTTGTATGTTTGTTTAAATGTTACTTTTACTTTTACTTTTACTTTACCTCCGCCTGTGCCTGTGCCTGTGCCGTGTATCTGCCTCTGCCTCGAATGCCCTACAATTGAACTAGAGAAGAGAGTGCTGCTGCTGCTGCTACTTCTGCTCCTGCTGCTGGCCTTGTTTTTTTTTTTTTTTTTTTTGGTTTCTTTTTGTAGAGCATAAGGAAAGTCTTCTTGTAATAGTATGATTTACGTTTTGGTTTTTCTCTCTTTTCGGTTTCTGCTGTTTGCTGTTTGCTGCTTGCTGTTGTCTTAAGTTCAATTTTTTTGATTCTGATTTGCATTTGATGAGTATTTGCTGTTGTTGTTAGTGTTTGCTCTTAAGTTGTTCATGCATGCATACGTAGTACCTATAGTTGCTATTGTAGCTGCCTCCGATGTTGTTGTTTTTGCTCTTGTGTTTTGCATATAACAATATTAAAATATTTGAAAAGGGCAAGAACACCCCAATCCGAGCACACAGTGGCAGCGGGCCAGAGGGGCAGGGAGTACAGTTGTATGCAGCATACACAAAAGCATATTTCTGCAACTGCAACTGCAACTGCAACTGCCACTGAAGCCTCCTCCTGTCCTCCTGTCCTCCTGTCTGTGTACCTTCGGTACTGTGTTTCTGGGAGGGGAGCCACATTTCTGGCATTTTCTTGGGTTTTGATTTAATTTCACTTAATTTACTAGAAATTCTTGAGCATTTACCTTGGCCTCTTGTCTTGTTATTGCATCAAGCTGTTCATTTCACCTCACTTGGCCAAGTGCCCCCTCCGCCCCCACCGCTCCTCTCCACTCCGCTACGTTCTCGACTAAAGCTTAATTTGTTAGTTAACTGGAAAGCAATCCGCAAACTGAAGTAACTGAACAAGAAGTATAAATACTCGTAGTACTACTACTGTTCGTGTGCCTGGAACTCTTTGAGTTCTGGCCACAATACATGCGCATATGCGTACGAGCACAAAGGATTGTGGTTGGTTGTTGTTGGGCGGGGCGGGGCGGGGCGGGGCAGGCAGTGGGGGACCCTGCACTTAAATTAGTTTACTTTATAGTTAATTAGTTAATATTTTTCTTCAGATATATATTCTTCTTTATGCTAGCTTCTCCGTTTGATTTCGTTCTACTCTCATCTCTAGTGCTTTTCCACTTAATGCGATGCTAGACAAAAAAAAAGTAGAGAAAAAAGAACTTTCCCCATTTTCAATTCACTAAATCTAGCTCCAAAAAAAATGTCTGGTTTTCCAATTACATTTATATATATATGTATATATGTATGTGTGTGTGTATGTATTGTATGTGTCTGTGTAGGGTGTATATTCATTCTTACAGATAGTTATGGGATTTGGTTTGATTTTCCGCCATCTGAAATGGTATTTACGATTATATATTTCGCACTCTAATGGCCATTTGGAGTTCGCTCTGATTCCCCATTTTATTTACATTGAAAACTTGTTTGCTGCTCCCCACTGCACTTCCATTGCCTTTCGCCTTGGATTGCTCTACTTTCAATTGTCATAACTAACCGAACGTTGAACGCATCTTCATGATTATCACTAACCTAGATTCTCTCTCTCTCTCTTAATCTCTCCTTCCACTTTCTTTAGCTCTGTTTTAGCTCTATTTTATTTGGCTTTCATTTGGTTTTGGGAGGCATACATATTTTCTCAGTTTCTCTTTTAATTTCCCTTTTAATTTTCTTTTTCTTGAGATTCATTGATTCGTTTGATTCACCATCGACATCGCTCATTCTCTTATGCTAAGCCTTCTTATTCGTATGATTTCTGGATTCCAAGCTGTATCCTAAGCATTTCTTTGATTCTTTCTTGAATTGAGTTCATGGACTGAAGGTCATTCAGGGGAATGGGAAACACTCAGTGTTTCAGACACCAAAGGAAGTAAGGAAGGAAGAACAATAGTTTTACATGTTTTTTCGGTAAAACATTCCCGATTCGATTTATATAGCTAAATTCTTGCACTCCTTTCGTACCAGTGTACCTTCCAGACGGTACTGGAATCATTGGCTACCCTTTCAGGACTCTTTTTTGAGCATCTAGCACACGCTCAAGTGGTTCGTGTTGAGGACCACTCCAGCCGCCATGTATCCCGCAATGCCCCCGTTGTTCTGCCGATGCTGCTGCTGCTGCGCCGCCTGCTGCTGGTGTCCATGGTGTCCGTGATGGCTGTGGCCAGCTGCTGCCACCGGCTCCACAACGAGTCCTCCCCCAAGGGCCGCAATGGGGCTGCCCGCCTTGGCCATGGGCAGGGGCACTCCGCCAATGGGGGTGGTGGCCGTGGTCGTCGTCGTTCCAGTGCCGGTTCCAGTGCTCAGGCTGGTGCCGCTGATGTGGGCGCTGATGCCGCTCGGCACACTGGACATGTGCGTGGCACTGGACGTGGCTCCCGAGACGGCTGCCGATACGGAGGCGGAGCCCGAGCCGGCTGCCGCCCCGCCACTGCCACCGGCCGCCGCCGTGCGAGCGAGCTCCTCGTTCGGGATGGAGAAGTGGCGGTACGAGATGTACTCGGGCGGCAGGGCCGCCTGCCGCTTGGCGTTCTCGATGCGCTGCTTCTTGAGCTTCACGTAGCTGAGCACGGAGATCATCACGATGAAAACGATGATGCCCAGGCAGCAGCCCACGATCAGGCCCAGGCGGCGCGTGAGGATCGAGTGGATGAACCCGTTGCTGGACAGCCCGTTCTCGTCGGTGATCAGGCTGGGCGTGGAGTCCAGGGTCTGCACATCGGTGCAGGCCGAGATGTGCGAGTTCTTGAGCACCTCGTGCAGCACATGGTCCGTCACAATGCTGTTCTCCATCAGCGACTCCTGCTGCAGCTGCTGCAACTGCTGCTGCTCGTGGCCGTACGGGGAGTACGACTCCGGCAGGGGCACGGAGACGGCGCCCATGGGCAGCAGGTCCTCGTCCCGCGACGAGTCGTTCGAGTGGAGCCTCTGCAGCGCATTGGCCAGCGGCTCCGAGAGCCAATTGCCGCTCCCGATGACGCAGATGTGATACCGCGTGTTGGGGCTCAGTCGCGTCAGTTTCGTGGAGCTGGCCGTCCCGTTCAGCCGCTTTCCGTGTATCTGAGGAATAAATTAAGCAAGTTTTCAAGATTGTTATTGTCATCCGCATCAGCCGCACCCATCTCCATGCCCATACCCATCTCCATCTCCATCCCATTCCCATTCCCATCATCGTCATCAGTGGCGTCGATGCCCGCGTGTCGCTTTATTAAAAATCTCCCCTGCGGCCTGTCCTGTATCTCACTCTCGCGTTTGCCATCCCCTCCAGATTACAGTGGTCCACAGCGATGGCTTTCTATGCCAATTCTTAGACCACATATATGTAGTTTTTTGAGGGATATCTTTATGGAAATTTAATGATATCTGACCAACCATCGGAATATGGCCTATAATACACAGAAGAATGACTGGAAATCTGCAAATATTTGCATTACCTCCTGTTGTGAAATGCTTCCCATAATTCGATTGAGATACTTTTTGGTCAAAGGCCCCGAAGCGATGGAACTTTCCGAGCCCTAACCAGACATGAAAGCCTATCGATTGCATTAACCTAAAACAATAGTTTGGCAAGAATGAAGACTTATGGGGCAGCCCAGCTATCCGTATAACTTGATTATACTATTAAAATGTTCATCCTTTGAGGCCGTGGCCGTGGCCGCACTTCTGTGGCCGCTCCCACTGTCCCACTGTGCCACTGTGCCGCCATCCGTCCCGTCCGTGTCCTGTGCGGAAAGCCAAAATTAAATTTTGTGTGCAGAAAGTTGTGCACTTTATCGCCAATCGAAGGCCCCACAGGCCCCATGGCCGTGGGCTCCGGCTCTAGTCCTGTCGCTTCCTCCCCGTCCTGCCCTGTCCTGTCCGTTGATTAAGCGTTTATTAAAAGAAAATTACGAGGATATCAGGGACACGGGCCCACAGTTCCGGCCATCAAATTACTTTGAAATTTTCCAGTCGGCGATGGGAACGGAGAAGGGAATGGGTATGGGGATGAGGATGGGCAACTCAAACTCCACCTCCACCTCCACCTCGGACTCGAACTAGAACTCACCTCATCCGTGGCCAGGGGGAAACGCTCCCTGTCCCTGTCCCTGTCTCTGTCCCGTTCATGCTCATCACGGTCCCTGTCCCTTTCCCTCTCCTGCTGCTCCTGATGTCGCTCCCGGCCGAAGTCCATGTCCCGGTCAGGGTCCTGCTCCCTATCATCATTGCCATTGCCATTGGCATCGCCATCCCGTTCGCGGTCGCGTTCACGGTCCGTTGGCCCGGGAACGAGGCCATCACCGGTGGCATGGTAAACAATTTCGAAGCCATTGAGGCCCAAATGGTCGCGACTCTGCCAGGAGACGACCACCGAATATGGCTGGATGTCCTGTATGGCCATTTTCGGTATTAGCGGCGCATCGCAAAACTGCTGCGGCTCCATGCGGCCAAACACCTTGCCACGCAGCTCCGTGGGGTGTTCGCACCTCAGATAATTGATGGCATCGCCGCCGCCGCCGATGCCGATGATGCCGCCGCCGCTGCCGCCACTGGCCGTCGACAGGGACCATTTGCGATGATCCCGTAGCCATTCCCAGAGCTTTTGGGCATCGCAGCTGCAATGCAGTGGATTTTCTGTAACGAAACAAATTGGCCATGACAGCGGACATTAAAAACGAGTGAAAACCGGCCAGTCAGCCCCAGGCAGGGCCAGACAGGGCCAGACAGGGCCAGACAGCGCATCAAATGCTCATCAAATGCTCATCCGCGGGACTTTCTAATACAATGAGCATGAGACTGCAAGGTCTGAAGTCTGTCACGGGATTTGCCTCAACTCTCGAGGGAATACACAACCTAAAGGGGGGCACTCACCCTCCAGCCGTAGGGTCCTCAGATTGGTCTCCAGCGGACGCAGCGGATCGAGGGGCACCAGCTCGAAGTAGTTCTTGCGCAGGTCCAGGAGATGCAGCTTGCGGAGGAAGCGAAAGGCGTCGTTCGACAGGACGGTCATGCGGTTGCCCATGAGGAGCAGCTCGACGAGGCCGTGCAGGTTGCGGAAGGTCTTCTTGGAGACGCGGTCCAGCTGGTTGAAGCTCAGGTCGAGCGTCTGCATCTGGGCGAGGTCAGGGCTGAACTCCTCGAGGTCCTTGAGGGTGTTGTGCGAGATGTTGAGGAGACGGAGCAGGCGCAGGCCCTGCAGCCGCTCCTTGGGTAGCATCTCCAGCTCGTTGATCCCGATGTCGAGTGTCAGCAGATTGGTGAGCGACCTGAAGGCCCCGGGCGAGATGCGGGTGATGCGATTGTTGACCAAATGCAGGTGCTGCAGCCCCTGGAAGGCCTCAAAGTCCTTGGACGTCAGTATGGAGAGGTTCGTCTGGCAGATGTAGAGCTCCTTGAGGTACGGGTACCGCTCCTCCTTCACCGTGTAGATCTTGTTGATCGGATTGCCGGTCAGATTGAGCCAGGACAGGCGCGGTATCGACACATCCGACAGAGCGGAGCTGGGGATCTGAAGGAAACGATTGCTGGACAGGTCCACGCGCTGCAGATTGATCGAGTGGCGCAGGAAGTTGGCCGGCAGCGAGAGCAGCAGGTTCCCGCTCAGATCGACGCTGTCCAGCTGCGTGAGGTTCACCGCATTGAAGCCGCTCAGCGAGTTGATCCTGTTGTCGCGCAGGACGAGCTGCCGCAGATTGAGCGTGCCCCGCAGCTTGAAGAAGTCGATGGACGTGAGGTGGTTGCGGGCCAGGTCCAGCGTCTCCAGGGTGCTCAGGTTGTAGAGGGCGATGTGGGGGAACTCCACCAGCTGGTTGCGGCACAGCCGCAGCTCCTTGAACACGTTCAGGCCGCTGAAGATGTTGCGGTTCATCTGCGTCAGCCGGTTGTCGCACAGGTCGATGCGCACCAGGTTCGTGTTCCGCGAGAAGAGCTGGTCGGGTATGTGTCCGAGGCTGCAGTTGGCCATCGAAAGGTGCTGCAGCGAGCGCAGCTTGTCGAACATCCCGGCCATGATGCCGCCCGATGCCGTGCCTCCCATGCCCACGTGGCTGAAGTTGTTGTGCGACAGGTGGAGGCGCCTCAGGCCGGGCACGTCCAGCCGCTGGATGTCGGCGGGGCTCAGCTGGTTGCGCTCCAGGTTCAGCTCGTTGAGGTTCTGCAGCGACTTGAAGGTGTTCTGCTCCAGCTTGCGCAGCGAGGTGTTGGCCAGTTGGAGCGTGGCCAGGGGCAGCTCGTCCAGGAAGACGTCGCGCGTCAGCTGCACCAGGGGATTGTGCGAGAGGTCCAGGGACTTGAGCTGCTTCAGCCGGTTGAAGGCATAGCCCTCGATGGCCTCGATCCAGTTGTGGGCGAGCGAGAGCTCCTCCAGGCTCTGCAGCGGGGCGAAGTAGTCGCGGCGCAGCTGCTTCAGCTGGTTGCCGCTCAGGTCGAGGAACTTCAGCTGCGTGAGGCTGGCGAAGGTGTCCTTCTCGATGTCCCGGATGCGGTTGTCGCTCAGGTAGAGCCGCCCCAGCAGCGGCGTGTCCACGAAGAAGGAGCGCTCCACCTTGGTCAGCTGGTTGTCGCGCAGCCACATGATCTGGATGCGCTGCTGCTGGCGGAAGGTGCGCTGGTGCACCTTGTGCAGGTAGTTCGCCTCCAGCTGGATGGAGAGCAGCGAGGAGTTCTGCTCGGGGAAGATGTCCTCGAGCACCGTCAGCTGGTTGTCCTGCAGGTTGATGTGCTGCATGCTGGTCAGCGTGTGGAAGGCCCCCGGCTCGATGTCCTCGATGTTGTTCTTCTGGATGTGCAGCTCCTGGAGCGACGGCAGCGGCTCGAAGACGCCCTTGCGCACCCGCCGGATGCGATTGTTGTGCAGCCGCACCTCCCGCAGCTGCTCCAGCTTGCGGAACATCCCGATCTCGAGGTCCTGGATCTCGTTGTTGTCCAGCGACAGCGAGGAGAGCCGCACGCACTTGTCGAACAGCGTCACGGGCACCAGCGGAATGAAGTTCGAGCGCAGATACAGGTGGTCCAGATTGGAGAGCGTGCTGAACACGTTCGGATCGATGTGGGCGATGGCGTTCGCCTCCAGGTAGATCACGTCGACGTTCGTCGAGTTGGTGAACGCGTCTGCCGGCAGCTCCAGGATGTTGTTCTCCGAGAGGAAGACCTCCCGCAGCTGCGGCAGGTTCGAGAAGACCCCACTGATCGCATGGATGTGGTTGTGGCTGAGGTCGACCGTCTGCAGGCGCTTGTTCCGATCGAACACCTTCGGATCGAGGGCGATGATGCGGTTGTGCGACATGTCCAGCGACATCAGCTCCTTGAGGCTCTTGAACGCCTCCGGCTGCACAAGCTCGATCTGGTTGGCGTAGAAGGAGAGCGTCTTGAGCTGCGGAAAGGCCCGGAAGCAGTCGTGCACGATCTCCCCGAACTGGTTTGAGCTGAGGTCCAGGAAGATCAGCGACGGCAGCTGCAGGGCGGCCGCCGCCACCGCCGCCGCGGCCGCGGAGGCGTTGTTCGTCACCAGCTGAATGTCGCCGTAGAAGCTCGCGATGCGGTTGCTCGACAGCCGGAGGACGCGCAGGTGGTCCAGCTTCCGCAGCGCCATCATCGGGAAGGTCCGCAGCCCGTTCTCGGACACGTCGATCTCCTGCAGGCACTCCTCGAGGCCGGCAAACGCGTGCTCCGGCATGCCCTGCAGCCGGTTGCCCTTGAGGTTCAGCTTCGAGATCCGCAGCCCATAGAAGCTGTAGTCCTCTATCCGCACGATCTCGTTGTAGTCAAAGTCCAGGGCAGTTAGCTTCTGCATCGAGCTGAGGGCCCGCGACGGCATCTGCAACGCAAAAAGCAACACAATTATTATTGGGCTGGGGCCATGGTCCGGATGCTGCCCTCGGGGGCACACCCGTCCGAAATTAAATGAAACAAATGTCATCGACATGTAATCAAGCGAAGAAGCACTGCACTCGTATAAAAAGGGTACGGCTATAATTAATCAACACGAGCCAACAGAGCGGTTTGTGGAATCTTCGCATCAAGTGTCATGGCGACGTTTCCGCCTTGGCCATTCACAATTCTCGCAGGAACGAGTATTTGCCATTCGCGTGGGGTGAACCGATTACCGATTACCGATTTTAAGAACAGCTGATTGTGTTCTTGTAACTTATTATAAATTCAAAGCTTAAAAGACTCCCATATTTCGAGTCAAGACGCGGACTCAAGAGATCTGTGTGTGTTCCTGCCACACCTTGAGGGCAAGGCCAACAGGAGTCTGCTATTGCTCATTAGACGCGAAAGCCTTTCCATTCCTTACCATTTTGTCTACTACTGATTGATTCTCTTACAGGTAAAAGCCCGCATTCTAAAGCGCCTGCAGCCGATCCGTGCCTCATCGACTGGACTGGCGTATCGTATCTGTCGCTGGCTGTATTACGTAAGCCATCCGACAACACCTTGCAGCTGTGGCACGTGTGTGTTTGCCCTGCTCTGCTTTCGTCGAGCGCTGCCTTTGTGTCGTGCCACTGGATTGTGCCTTTTGTTGCCCGCTAAATCTGTAATTAAAACCCGCCATTGTGCACCAGTAGTCCCATGGGCAGTCCATGCAGCATGCTGTTTAAAAAGCGCGCGCCCCCCCACAGGCGGCCCTCCGGGGCATCCCACCCTTCGCTTGTGGCGTGTGTTTGTTCACCTGTTTCTACCGTTTTACCTGTTTGGCATCGCCGCGAAATTGCTTTTGATGCCAATCATTGAAAACTTTGCACAGCTTGCGTATCTGGCCAAAGCAGAAAGGCACTGGCACTGGCACTGGCACTGGCACTGGCAGTGGCAGTCGCGGGGTCGGAGACCGGGCCAGAGGTGCAGTGCAGCTTCTGCCTTTGCATTGTTTGCGCATTTTTTTGTCCAGAGTCTCCACAGCAAGGGCTCCTTAGCTGGCGATGCAGTTATGACTGCCACTTCTTGGATTGGAATGTCACTGTATGCATAATCCGAGCAGGTTGCAGGTACTCCAAATAATGGCTTGTGGCGAGGCACAAGAAAGGGGCAGCATTTCTGTCTTGAAAAACAGCAAAGTCGCCAGAATGTTGTATGCTGAGTTTCGTTCTTTTTATTCCACAGAAATGTCCGCCGCTGTCCGGCGAGTGTGGGCGTGAAAAGTGTCGCCCACGGGGCCCAAGGAAATGTGCAATTTTAGGGGCGGGCCTGCAGTGTCACCTGACATGGGGCCAAAGCGAATAACGGCCTTTTAATTAATGTACTGACACGGAAATTTATGGCAGTCGATTTTAATTTATTGAACCTCTGCGACGCGGCGCCGTTTGGCGCCTTGGAAGCGCGACGCAGCCCGGCCCGGCCCGGCCCGGCCACGATTCGACCGAAATTTATGGCCAAGTCATTGCCCGGCTGGCCAGAAGTGCAGGAGAGAGAGCCGTAGCGGAGCCGCAGAGCGGAAAATGCGGGAAAATGGGGGAAAATGTGGAGAAAATGGTCTGCCATAAAATGATATTTATTTTTATTGTTGGCACATTATGAAATATTTATGGACATTTTGAATTTCAAAGACAGTGAACAGTGAATACAACGGAAAAAAAGAAAAAAGTTACGGATTCACGGGATTTCAGCCACAGTTTCGGTGTTTCGGTATTTCGGTGTTTCGGTATTTCGGTATTTCGGCATTCCGGTGCAGTGGGGTCTAGTGGGGATCTAATCCTTGCTGATGATGGGCCGGGTCCGGCATCGGCGGCCACCCTCGCCCTGGGTGATGCCGCGGCAGCGCCACTGCTCGGTGGAGATCCATTGGTTGCCGGGCTTCCTGGAGCAGTTCCTGCGCCTGGCCTCGCAGCGGCTCTGAACGCTGCAGCCGCCCTGGCGGTTCTTCCAGCAGCTGGCGACCTTGTCCTCCAGGCACCAACGCTGCTGGCACTCCCTTACGCGCTTGCCGTCGCGGCTGACCGGCGCCGGGGTGCGGAGACGGGGAGCGCACCGGCCGGAGGCGCCGCTGCCTCCGACTATGTTGCGGCATCGCGTGACGCAAGTCTGCTTCACCGGCTCCAGGCCGTTGTCGCGCCGCAAGCAGTTCTTCTCCCGCAGGCGGCAGGGCAGCAGCCTGGTGCACGTGTTGGTGCGGCTGTCACGAACGCACACGGTCCGGCTGCTCAGCAGGTCCTTCTGGGTGCAGCGGCCCGCGCAGGGCGGACGACGGTTGTTGCCGTCGACCCCAATGGACGCCACGAGGACAACGAGCCCCAGAAGAAGGCAAAGCTTGGACATGGCTGGGAATGGGATGGCTACGGCTCTTCTCAACGGAATGCGGAGGAGTGGTGCCCGTTTGCCTCGCTGAGCCGCCTATTTATGGAGTCCCCCCGCCAGAGAATACATCCCAAACACCCACTCAACGTGCCACATCTGTTCTGTTGTTTGCCCCAAATCTCGATCGGCAGTGAATGGGATTGATCGAACACAATAAGCGAAACAAAGCAGAGAAGAGTCAGAAGAGTCAGAAGAGTCTACAGTCGGCAGTCAGAACAGTCAGAACAGGCACTCAAGTGTCAATGTAGTAAATGTAGCTCCGAAAAACAGTATAAATTTCCTTAGTGTACACAATTTTAGCATTCACTCGTAAGCAATCCAGCTCCATTGTCGCGAAGAACCTCCAAGATGCACTGCCAACAGTGGCTCATGCCCGTGGCCATGGCCATGGTCTTTGGTAAGTGGGGGACGAACACGAACACGAACACGAACAGGCCCACGGCGTCCTCGAATTAACCGAGTAATCACGTTCCCCACAGCACTGCTGCAGCTTCAGCCGGCGGGCAGCACCAGTGCCAGCAGCAACGAGACCCACACCACCACCACCGTGAAGGCCGTCAGTGGTGCAGCAGCGCCTGTCTGCAGGCTGCCACCCGTCTGCATGGATAACAGCCCGCGCGTCTGCGGCAGGTTCCCCGATGGGAAGTGCCAGCGCTTCAACAACATCTGCCACCTGCTGGAGGCCCACCACAATGGGAAGCCAGCCGCTGTGGGGCACGTGCCTGCCCGGGAGTGTCGCCACGTTGCTGGCGTGGGGTACCTGTACAGACGCCCCTGCCACGACGGCTGCCCCGGCCGTCGGGTGAACTGCAGCCGCTTGCCCCACTCGGCGAAGATCTGCGTGCGCACCACCAACCACAAGGAGTGCCAGCTCCTGGCCAACGTCTGCCAGCTGCGCCAACGCAACTGCCGCGACACGCCGCGCCACAGTGAGTGATCCGCAGATGTGTAACCTCCCTGTAACGTGTAACCTCTAACCTGTAACCGTCTTCCTGCAGACTGGCACCGCACGAACCGGCGTCGCTGTGGGCCGGCCAAGCTTGGCGATGAGCCCAGGCCCTGCTTGCCCCTTCGAAATGCACCAAAAGCTGCCACCGAGCAACAGAAATCTGCTCTGGAAAAGAGAGAGGACTGAGGAGTCTCTCCCCCTGAGGTCTGCTCCCCCTGGAATAGAACGAGTGATACTGAGATCTGTTCCGTAGCATAAATTATAGTATTCACTGTCTTGTTTAGCGTAGCTCCTTCCGTAAGATAAACATTGAACTTACGCTAAGAATATTCTCATGGCTAGCATCTAGATAAACTTGATCTTGTTTCTATCATCAGAGGCTGTGGCTCGGGTTTGCGACCAAGACCAAGATCATTAGCTTCAGGGAAATATCCGCTTTAATATGCTGTGACACAGAGGACAAGCCTACTGAAAGAGCTCGAATACTTATGTAGTCTGCTGGATTCACGGATATTCAAGGCATTCTCTGGGCAAATAACACACACCTAATCTTTCTCTATTGGATCTTAAGTCTTCGGTAAATATCTAAATACGATGGATTGCATATGTTGGGGGAGTACTTTCACCGCCTTGGGCTCCTTCTGGGCTTCCTTTCGGGACATTCGTGGTTTCCGGCTGGCCGCCTTTCGCCTGCAAATTATTTTATTGAACGCAATGGTTTCTGGCTTTGGCTCGTTTGTTATTTTCGCCGGCGGCAAATTACTTTTTATGGCTGGCGGCGGAGGCCGCTACCCCGCTTGCCACATGCCACTTGCCCCTGTTGAATGTGGAGCACAGTACTGGATGGCCTGTCTGATTCGAAGCGGATGGGCCTGCCGCTGTTTTTCAAAATTTAATGGCTTAGAAAGCCATTTGCATTTGTTTTTTTTTTTCTTTTTTCTTTTTTCGGGTCTTTCCAACTTTGTTTAACATTATTTGGCGCCGTATGTTGCCCACTCCCACTCCCTCTCCCAACCCCACCCCTCTGTCAGTTGCCGTTGGAACGGACTAATTAGTTTGGCCTGGCAACGCTGTGGCGGCGGCTCTGCGGTCTGGCAGCGCTGCGTAGTGCAATTTAGGGGTACTGCTGTCTCTGTCCCTCTCGTACTCGCACTCTTCTCGGCGCAGCCCGAAAGTATGCAATGAAAACAGACGTAGAATCGATGTAGTATCGACGTAGAATCGGTGTAGAAATGCCACTTACAGGCCCTGTCCCCAAAGGTAAATAAAATCCTTAGCCGACACTCACCTGCGTCAATTTGCCATTCACAATGCTGAGCGACTCGAGGCTGGAGCGCACGTTGCGCAGGCTGTTGTCCTTGAGGGCCTCCAGGTGGGAGTGGGAGAACTGCAAGTGCCGGATGTGGACGCCCGGCTGGAAGACGTCCTGCGATAGCGACGTGACGGAGCGATCGAAATCGTAGATGGACAGCGAGTGGATCGGCGCCGAGATCCGCTCCAGGGTCGAGCGCAACGACAGCGCCGTCGTTCCGGGGCACTCCAGGAAGAGTCCTGCAGGAGCAACGAGGAAGCAAAAACATGTTTAAGTGTTAATTCCATAATCGACAGAAATTTGCGCAACGCATTTCAATTGGTTCTCCCCAACGGGCCAAAGGCTTCTGTCCAGTCCTGCCCAGTCAAGTCCTCTCCGTCTCCGTCTCCGTCTCCTGTCCCCATTATGTGCCTTGTAATGCATATTATTATCCTTGTCCTACCTTGTCCCCCCATGACATGTGCTGCCTGCCTCGCCTATCAATCAATACTCCTGTTGACACTGGGACTGGGACGGACTCTATTAATAGCTGAACGAGCATTCGTTTGAGTGAACCAAAGGCTGCTGTTGCACCGGCTTCCTCTATCGCTTAAATAGGGCAATTCTCAGCACTATCTCAATCGATCGACGGGGCAGGAGCCTCGTTGATGGATGTGGCATGCAACAGCAGCTTTATTGCTGGCTGCTGCTGGCTGCTGATGGCTGCTGATGGCTGATGAAATGATGCTGCCTGGTGTCAAAGCAAACAAATCCTGCCTGGAATACACATTAAATGTGTTCGAGTGGGACGCACGGACAAACAGACAGACAGACAGACTGTGCGCTGCTTTTCCTTGGGTTTGGGGCCCCCCAAGGAGCTCTGATTTGTTATGGGGCTCGTCCACACGTTCGGGGCGCAATTAACTTTTCCACCCCCCCCGCCCCGACCCACCGACGGACTGAATCGGACTGATTCGGACTGTCCTGGAGGTCTGTCCCGGCTTGATGCGTTTAATTAGTTCGGTCGACCATTCGCACTTACCATCTTCAAACTTGTAGCAGGGGCAGGCGGAGCTGTCGTCGAAGCTGGGGCACTCGATGCCAGCAGCTCCACCGCCTCCCCCTCCCCCTCCCCCCGCGCCAGCGCCACCGCCACCTCCGGCTGACGAGGATGAGCCGGCACCCGTGGAGCCACCATTGGGAGCACCCAGATCGGCGTAGAGCAGCTCACGTGCACTGCCTTTGGCACTGGCGATGAGGAGGCTGCTGGCGGCGGCGGCAGCCGGGGAGCGGGCAATCCTGGCCGAAGGTGTCATCGCTCCTGCGGCGGTCCCGGGCAGCATCGTCAGCAGCAGCAGCAGCAGCAACGGCAGAAGCCACAGGACATGCTTCCTCCATTGCCGCTGCAATCCGGCAACACTATTGCAATTTCGACGACATTGTCCCTGGTCTCGTCGAAGGAGAGGGTGCTGCTGCCGCTGTTTGCTTCTGCATTTGCTTGCTCTGCTCTGGGTCTGGCTCTGGCTCTGGCTCTGGCACTCGGCCTGCTGTTTGTGTTCGTGCTCCTTGGCAGAGTCTCGTGGCAGTCCCTCTGCCATTCCCTGTACCATTGCCATTTGCTCTATTTGATGTCCTTGTTGCTGACGCTGATTATGCTGGAGTGGGAGCTGCTGCTGCTCCTGCTGCGGCTCCTGCTCCTGCTCCTGGTGCCTGTTTTGACGGTTGGATGCTTGTTTTTTCGGCTCCTGGCCGACGCCTCCTGCCGCACTCCCAGCCTGTTGACAATTGTTAGTGCTGCTGCTGGTGCTGCTGCTGCTACTGCCGAGGGTCCTGGATGTGGATGTGGGTATGGAGTCGTGTCCGTTTGTTGACTTTGTGCATTTCGCTAATAAGTTTGCCAGCGCCGCATCTGCTTCTGCTGAATCGCTGCCTTTGCACATTTTTCTTCTCTCTCTCTCTTTCTGTTTCTCTGTATGTCTATGGGGCTATCTCTGCCTCTTTCCTCTTTCTCTCTCTCTCTCTCAGCCTGTCTCAATCAATGTGGCGCATTCGTATTGATGTGTCCCTGTTGCCATATCGGTGGTGGGGGCGGGGGAAGATGCAATCTGTGGAAGAGAAACAGAAACGGAAACGTAATTAATTCTAAATGTCAGCCACTTAAAAGGGGAACAAATGGCATTGGAACCGTTTAAAAATAGTCGTTTCTGTGAGTGTCTGTAATCTCAATCGAAAGTGATATATGTCCTACATCCATATCAAAGGAAGGGCACACCCGAAGCTTCTGAGGGAAGCGAGGCAGCACAAGCGACCGAGGAGAGCTGTCGCAAGACGCGTGCCGCCTAATGAAGGAACAAGTGTGTTCTTAGATCCCAAATCTTAATAATCATAAACCCATACCCGTGACATCTCCATCGCCCATGTTTTTCCACGAGAATGAATCACTTCTCCTAATGCCTTCTCCCCCAGGGGCATGTCGGAGCATGCGGCATCTATTATATAATATTTCGTAGCTTATGCTGGCTGCTCTTTCCGTTCTAATCCACATTCCCTGTTCCAGTCCTCGCTGTTTCGATGTCATTCCGCTGCTGGACAACGCGACAGCCGGAAATTTGGAATAATTAATATTTCAGCTGCTGTCGCTGGCATCTGAATACCCTTCAGAAAGGGTATCCACACCGGAAGGTACAAGTTTGGGCCTCGACGAAACCATTTGTTCCATTTTCCTACGGCATGCAAGTACCTTAGATCCTTAGGGATCTAAGCCTTCCAGTATACTATAGTGCACTTTCAGAGGGTATCTGCTGGTTCGAAGCCTCGCCACGTTCCTTCTTAGTTGTTGTTTGCGGAGCGCTCTTCCTGTTTTGGCCGAAACGAACGAAATTTCCGGTTAAGGCTGGCAGGGAGCAGTCATTCGACGCATTAGCTGCCATAATTTTAATGGCGTTTAATGGCCCAGGAATGGAATTGAATGCGGCCAAAAGCACGCAGAGGAGGGACGACAAAAAAAACGCATTAATTAGAAAACGAGCGAACAACGACTTAGCAATAAAATAATAATAATAAGGCAAGCCAACGTGACCGCCGCATACCAGAGCCCCAGAGTCCCTTTCCCTTTCGCCACCCCCCCTCCCCGTCCCCCTAGAGAGGCACTAAATTAGGCGCTCGCCTTTCGGCCAAGGGAAAAAAGAGCCCCAGCCTCAGCCGCGGCCCCGGCCCCGGCCCCAAGCCGCACAAAAATTCACGCACTTGACACAAATTCCTTTCGGGCGGCGGGCGAGCATTAAAATTGAAAATAAAAACAAAACGAAACGCAAATTGTGAGGTGACGGGGAGGGGCTCTCTGCGGCAGCAGGAAAAGCGGAAAAAGCGCTGCCCAGGCATGCAAGAAAATAATTCATAATACAAACGATGGCCATCCGGGCGAGGAAAAACGCACACCGAGAGGCTGCCATAATGTTGTCAGCGCAAAAAATGGCCACCAAATGGAGACCCGAAAAAAGCCCCAGACCCCCGGGAGAAAGACAAACGAAATTGTTGGCCGGGCACAGCCCCGCAAAATGGGTTAAAAGCTGGACCCTCACACGGGGGACCAGAGATTTATCAATTTGCTGGTTAATTACGGTTCAAGGGGGAAGGAGAGCCCGTTTCAATTGGTCGTATGCCAGGATCCAGCGTAGGATCTTGGGGAACATGAGCAGGAACTGCAGATGTCTCCGTAAATAATCAGTGTTCCAGCATAATTATGGCCCACTAGAAACATCAAATTGTGTTCCAAATCAAAGAGGATTGTCCATCAATAGGAGATGGTAATTCCTATTACCCCATTCAAACACCCTGCTAGAGGCCAAAGGCTAAAGGCCTTTCCTTTACTGAAGGAGAATCGGCACCTTTAATAGATCTTCGCTGCGAGAAGACCTGCCTCGAACAGCAACAGCGATGGGCGGTCTGTGTTGCACGTGGAGGCCAAGGCGCCGGCCTTCGTGGAGGAGAGGTGGAGTGCCTTTGCGGATGGGTAATCCTTTTGTGCTCTGAAGATCACTCAAGGCACATTGTGGCCAATCGAATCGGTGTACTATACCCCTGAGGGATTACGGCCGAGACTTTGGGAACGGCTTTGGGGATAGACCTTCCCTTTGAGTGGGTGAATTCGAATCAATCCTAGCAAGGGACATAAGTCGATTCCCGATACAACAATAAAACGCATCGAATTCTTCGAGTTCTGTAGAAGTATTCTCCCCAGTTCCTTCCTTCCAAAACTACCACCTAACAATGACCTCCATTTTAGGGGGGTTGGAGTGTCTTCCGCCGTTCGATGGGACACCTGTGCCGCCACCCTTTCGCGGCCTGCCCATGGGCGACAAATTTCCACGCTTTTCCATCCCCCGGGGGAGGGGAGGGGAGGGGATGGATGGCCGTGTTTTCAATTAGTGGCCATGACAACTGAAGTTTTTACCGCGCTTCGGTTCTTGCACCACTTTTTCCATTATTTTTATGCGGTTCTATTCGGTAGGATTCGTGTTTGTTTATTGTGTGTGTGTGTGTGTGTGTGTGTGTGTGTGTGTGTGTGTGTGTGTGCTTGTGCGTGTGCTTTCGGTTTTCAGCATTCAGTTTTCCCCGTTTTTCCGTTTTCCAATTGTCGCTGTCGCTCTCGCCGTTTGAGTTTGAGTTTGAGTTTGGATAAGTTCGAGTTTGCCCACTCGCTGCAGTCGCGGTTATTTGGTTAGCAAGTCAGTCACTCAGTCACTCATTCAGTCATTCACTCAGTGAGTCTGTGAATCAAACAGTCAGTCAATCGGTCAGTCAGTCAGTCAGTCAGTCAGTCAGTCAGTCAGTCAGTCATTCAGCAAGTTGCAATCGCATTTGCGCATAATTAAAAGTTAATTGAGTAACAACAAAGCGCTTAATGCAATTGGAAATTGAAAACGGAATAACAACCAAATGGCGGACCCAGTGCCGCATCAAATATGCTCTGGCAATTTATTTACGAGTATCGTGGCCAAATCAATAAATCGCCATATGAATAATATCTGAATAGCAGTCGAGTGCGAGTGTGTGGCCAGGGATTAACCAATTGATGGGCGGCGAGCAGCGCAGCGGAGGAAAGAGGTAGGTCCCAGGGATGCCACAACAATAGAAGAGAGGGGGACAAGCAGTCCACAAACATACCATCGCCAGGACCATCCTTGCTCTGAAAATGGATAGCCCTTGGGTGGGCGAAAGTGTGGATACATTCCCTGAAGAAGGGCACAACTTTCTTGATAGACATTTGCATCAATGATGAGTATCTACGATCATGTTCCTAGTGAGTCCTAGTGGAATGGAAAAGGTATTACGGATAGGCATGCACCCCATGCCTGATATCTCTGATAGCTGCGTTGGAAAAACGTATCCATTAAGATCCCGTACCGATCCGATACCGATAGTACTTCATTATCACTCTCTCGGGAATCGAGAGTACCTCTAAAGTGTCATCATGAGCTGGCACTTAAGGCAGCTCCACCCCAAAGGGTTGGGGCGGGGCGGAGCGGAGCGGAGGGGCAGGGTTAGGGAACTACACCTTGGCGGGAATGTCGAAAATTAATTGCAATTAAAAACCCTAGTTCCCCTGGGAAAAGCGACACGACAACAGCAACAAGAGCAACAACAGCGACAGCAACACGAACAACTTCAAAACAATGATGGGGAGCAATGACGATGACGATGACGATGAAGATGACGATGGCCAATGAACCTACTAGAGGAAGGGGGCAGATCGGACTGCATGGACAGGGGTGGGGATGGGGATGGGGATTGGGACTGGGGTTTTGGGGAGAGCGAAACCTCAGCTTGGATGACATTAGCGTTGACAGCGAGAGAGAGAGAGCCCAACAAAGAACAAACGGGGAGAACACACAGGGAACAACTTTGTTTATGGCAGTAAGCAACACATCACTCACATAGATGCACACACACACACACACTAGAACGATGCACCTGTGTCTCTGTGTTTGGCTCTGCCCTTTGCTTCCTGTGAACCAGTGCTGGCTGCTGGCTGCTGGCTGCTTGCTGCACCCTTCGTCATGCTCCTCTGCTTAGTCTCGACTGCTATTTCATTTTAATGACTCACGTGACTTTCACGTGAGAGAGAGACCCCACTGGGCCGCCACTGAGAGCCAGAACAGGGCAACAAACGGAATCAGCATCAGCAGGGAGAGGAGAGGAGAGGAGAGGAGAGGAGGAACAACACCCGACATTGTCCATGGCAGCTAAAGCCGGGGCAAAAGTATAATCATAATAATAAAAGTTATACACCTAACATGCCATTACATAACAGATACAGAGAGGGAGAGAGAGCACTCTCCACTCTCCCTTCAAGGGGCAGTCACGCCCACCGATGTACGCCCCAGCTGCAGAGCCAGATGGCAAGATACGTACAAGTACGAGTACGAGTACGAGTACGAATATTTTGCATGAAAGCCCCGGATAGACATGAGATGGGTTCTTACTTCATTTGAGCAGCACACAAGCTCTTTGGTTTGCACTGAATCCCAGCCAGGGACCACGGGGGACCATGGGGAGCGGAGGGGATTCAGAGCTGGATAAAGCCAACGGCCAGACGGTACAATCAAAAATTCAGTTAATTAGCTCTAAGCAGTAAATGGAAACTTTAGAGGAGCCCCAAAAACCCATACTAGTAGAATGGATTGATGGAGTGATAGATCCAAAGATGGTCCATTGAAAATCAATGGTAAATCGGTAATTTCACTAGAAATTTTATTTGCAGCTTTCAATCCCAGCAATCATCGATGGATGCTGTGCCCAAAAACTAGAGCAGTTACTAGCTTTTATCTCCGCCTCAAGAGCACAAACGATGTGCTACCCTCGGGATAGGAGATGGTTATGCCTATTTCCCCATTGACCCCATCTAGCTATCGAACATTTCTAGGTACTCTTTTCGTTCCGTTTGGTTTTTCTCACTCTGGAAGGCCTGCCGCTGGAGGCACTCATCTATGCCTCTCATGCCTCTATTTATTCCCGGACTCCCAGGAACTATTGATGGTAGCACGCCCAAGCTTCGCTTTGGCCTTGGCCTTGGCCTTGTCCACCTGCTGCCGCTCCTGTTGCT